TTGGTTTTGTTATATATTTAGGACCTAATTTGATTTCTTGGTGGTCTAGAAAGCAACAAGTTATAGCTCGATCTAGCACTGAGGTTGAATATCATAGTATAGCTCACACCTCCGCTAAGTTAACCTGGGTTCAGGCTTTATTATAAGAACTTCAGGTTCCTTTTTCCACTTTCGTTCTACTTTATGATAACCAAAGTGCAATAGCTATTGCTCACAATCCCATTCTTCATAGTCACACTAAATACATGGAAATCGATGTATTTTTTGTTCGAGAGCAGATTCTATCCAAGCAACTTATGGTTTATACCACATTCTAGCTCTGGACAATGGGCAGATGTACTGACCAAGCCTTTTTCTCAAGCCAGATTTCAATTTCATAGAGACAAACTCAATGTGAAGAGTTTTTCTAAAAAACCTCCACCTTGAGTTTGTAGAGGGTATCAGAGTGTAATATGGAAAATACTACTCTTCATTTTTGTCTTTTTTCATTCTGTTATTTCATTAGAATATTCTGGTTGTCACCTATCCTATTTGTTATGGTTTGATATTTTGTAAATTATTACTTTACAACTGTACCAATAAGGGGTGGCTTCTATGAAAGGCTCTTATTGTATTCCTTTATAGAATGACTGAAATGAAATGAAAATATACCCTTACAACTTAATTTTTCTCTCTGATCTTCTCTAACAACCAACAATTCAAGAATAACCTCAAATTCTCTCAACCCATAACAATACATGCATGCAAACTTAGAATCTTTCAATTATAATAACATGCAACTCATAAATTAAAGAAAATGAGACATGCAACAACACCCCAATTTATGATCATCAAACCTCCCTTTATTCACTAAGAACACCAAGAATCCACAAAATACAACACTCATCTCCAAAATCAGGCATACCAACAAACATTCAACAAGAATCAAGGTACATATAGCACCATAATCTATTAGGATCAAGTTCTAGCTTCTTTATCTCTAGAATCCAAGAAAACAAAGGAGAAGGAAGAAAAATATGAGCTCCGCACAACACTATAACCACTGATTTTTAGCTATACAACTTTGAATCACCACTTCGCTAGTTAACCATGAATCTCTACACCCTCAGGGGGTTAGGGAGAAGAAGGAAGAATCTCAAGATCTAAAGTCTCTCTGTTTAACTTCTTTCTAAAATTCTAGAGTTATAAACTTATGAAGTTTATTATTTAGGATTCGCTTTATATATCTCAGCCTTTCTAGGTCAACTCTCACACACTTAAGTTATATCCTTTATAACTTAAGTTTAGAAAGCATGGTGTTACAATGTACGTTCACAGTCTCCAACAAAAATTAATTACTATATATTTTTAACAATAGATACATCTTATCAATACTATGGTTACAAAAAAATATATATACACCTCCCTTTTTAATAGCTATCCCTTCTAAAAAAAACACTTTTTAATAGATATTCCTTATTTTTCTATTTTTCAAGAAAAAATAAAATAGTTTTAATTTATTTCCTTTTTAAATAAAGTTTATTTTAAAAAGTTATCTTCTTCCTTTACTCTATTTTCCTTTACTCATTTTCTTTTGTTACTCTATTGACCACTCTCTATTCACTCTTCATACGATTAATTTCTTTTTCTTTTAATTTCTTCATTTTTTTCCTTCAAGCAATCAAGACAATCTCTCACCGATCTTTATTATTTTAAAAAAACATTTACATTCTTAATGTCAACATTTTTTAAACCGTAATTTTTCACCTCTTTTTTAATATTAAATATAATGGGTTACAAGATTATAATTTTCTTAAAACATCGATTTCAAAAGTATGATCCATTGATTTTATAATAAATTATTGATTATGAATAATATATTTTTTTATGATTTTGATTTTGAAATTATGGTTTAATTCTTATAAAAAAAATTTCTGATTTTTATTCTTTTAAAAAATGTCTTCAAAAGAGAAAAATACAATTCCAAAAAAATTATTTCTCTCTTTTAAAAAAAAATTGAACTCTTGCAGAAAATATTTTCTACAAGCAACAAATACACTTATGGAATGTACTTTCCACAAAAGCAAATATATTTATTTATTATTAATTTAAAATTATATATCATATTTTTGAAACAAATGTCTATAAATTAAAATGATATAATTCAAAAAGTATTTAATGTATTTAAATATATTTATCTATCGTTAATTTTAATTATAATAAAATTTATATATTTAAAAATAAGTTAAATTAATCTATGGATCCTTATAACTTTATCAAAATTTTAATTAAGTTTCTGCAATAAAATCCTTTTCGTTTCCTTTTCTGGTTTAGTCTTGCGGGTTACGCAGTGCAAATATGAACCTAAAATAGATATATATTGACCAAATTAAAATGTGAGCCTCTACAGATGAACTATTTAAATTGCAGCAAGAGTCTAAATAAGCGGGTAAGCTCAAATATAAACCTGATAAGAAACTTTACTCATGTAACATGTTTCTCTGTAGCAAATGAAATTCAGGATTTAGAAACTTTTTAAAAATAAAATAGAAAATATGAAAGTAAAAGACTACAGTATAATAAAAAGAAGTTTATTGTCATATCACAATACAAATCAGAATAAATGAAAGGGTTTATAAGAATATTAATATGTAATAAATTAATTATAATTTTTTAATTATGAAAGTTTGTTAGATTAAAAACATGATGATTTTGATTTTAAGTCCAATTCTTGATACACAGAATTAGAATTTAGACTCAAACAAGCAACAAAATCAACACACTTTTTCTCATAATTGAACATTCCAATTGTAAGGCAACAATTGTTGAATACTCACCACAATATTGGAAACATACGTGTGTCTACTGTCACAAATATTTTCCACGATTGATAATGCATTAGATGAGTCTCATAGACACAAAACATTTGAATGTCCAAAGCCTATTAGCCAAGTGCAATCCAAAAAACAACGCAACTAAAATCAACTTTAACCACAGTTAATTATATAAAATTACGTTCATCTAAAATATTTAAATCAACGTTGATCCGAACACACTCAGAAAAAAAAAAAAAAAACTGATAAAACAATACAGACCTGCAAATATTATTTTTTGGGTCATTTAATTTAGTAAAATAAAAATGAAAAATAAAAGAAAGTTAAAAAAAAAAATCTTCCTCTCATTTAATTATATAATAATTAGAAAAAAAAACTTCCTCTCATAATCTTCCTTTCCAATTCCAACAGACAGGGGTGTTCAAATTGCTAAACTAAACTAAACTAGAAGAAAACTAAACTAAATTATAATAAATAGTTCACTAAACTAAATTGAACTAAAATAAATATTGACTAAACTAAACTAAACTATTATCTAGATTAGTGCACTATAGTTCTAAGAGTTTGAACTAAACTATAATATCAATTAAATTAAATTATTATTAATTATAAACTAAATTGAACTACATTAAAAAATAAATTTAAAATCAACATTTTTAAATTGAGCTACCAAATCGTTGATATTAATTATAAATTACAGATTTAAAAATAGAGAGACCAAAAGTGTAAATTTGATATTATAAATGAATCATAAGTGTAATTTAACTAATTAAATATATTTCTAAAATATATTTTACTTTAATATAATTAATATTTTAGTTTGTTTATGGCACAAGATCAATGTTTTTATAATAAATAAATATCTTTAAATATAAAAAAAATCTTATTTTAGATTTACAATGAACAATTTCATCTGTGATGTAAAATTAATTTTAAATATGAATAAATTCTTAAAAGAACTATTAAAAACTATTTTATATTTTTTTATATTTTCAAAATATTAAATAAAAAATACTTCAAATCTTAAAATTACAAAAAAATTAATAAATTTTTTCATTTACCAAACAAGATAATTAATTAAAATAAATAAATAAAACTAAAATTAAAGAAATTTTAATTATCACTTTATTGTTTTTGAAATTTATGTAGATGTTATAAAATAAGAACTTAATTAAAATATATTAAAATATTTGTTTTACTTCTTTATTCAATCATAATCGTTATATACAGTCATTTTATACATTTATAATAATTATTTTTTAATTATATTTAGAGAATTTTTAATTACTCAATATTTTAAATTTTTATAATAACAGTGAAAAAAAAAACTCAACAAAGTCATATTTGATACACATAAAGCCACCTCATTTCTAAATCTTGTACAAATTTCGCTCGACAATAAAAAATAAAAAACTTTCCAAATTCTCTTTTAACATTCTCTTATTAATTTTCATATTCACTAAACAGTCCAACTAACGAGTGCTTTAAGAATAATGGTTAAAAAAACTAAAAAATGTAAAGAAAAAAAATGAAATATCATGGGGAAAATATATTAGTAATTTTTTCTTTAATTTTTCACTTTTGATTTTTTAATCAATAGCTTAAAGATACATGTTAAAACTATTTTTATTAAATAAAATATTATTAAATTTTAATTATAATTTTAAGTTATTGAATGTGTTTATTTTTTATTTAATCTTTTTCATGGTTAAAAAAGTTAAAAAGATTTATCAAAAAATAATGTAGATAGTAACCTTGCACGTTCTGCATCTTGCATATCGTAAGCGCTTGTGTCATCTAATTATTATTTAGGATCAAAATTTGAGCAGGTACAAGTCAAAAGGGGAACATAAATTAAAATAATCTTATGTACCAGAAAATTAAAATAATTCTAACTGGCACGTTCTGCAACTATAGGGAACGTGGTAGTCTGCGTGAATCAGTGCTTTTATTTAATTTTAGTGAACTGAACTATTAATTTTAATAGTTTAACTTTATAAACTACACTAAAAATAATAGTTTAGTTTAAATTATTAAAAAATAATTTAATTTATTTTAGTTTAGTTATTTAAAAAGTTTAGTTTTAAATAATTTTGTGAAAGGCAACAGTGGAATAATATAATACTCCAAGACGACAAAGAAGGAACGCAGTAGGAAGAGACAAGTGTGAAGTGACTGTAGGTAGCGACCGGGAGAGCATTGACGACTGGCGTAGACTTTGGCGACGACTTGATACCACACAAAAATGCATGCATGTAATGTAATAATGGTCGCAGATTTTTGCAATAATCACTGATAAGGACGCTTTTCGTGTTATTTTAACTTATTGGTTGAACACTGAGAAGCGATGGAGTTGAATTTGGACTATGGCACCTAAAGTGGGGTTGGAATACTAGTTATAAGTTATAAGTGTGTAGCATTGGATTTCAAAAGTCATAGGAACAAGTGGATGTTGTATTAGATATGAGAAGTGATGAGATTGTGTTGTTGTTGTTGTTCTCATTTCTTGTATGTTGTTCCGGTGGAGATACTTTGAAGGCTGGCGAGAATATAACTGATGAGGAGGGGAACCCGAATCTTGTTTCAGAGAACCTCACATTTGAGCTTGGCTTTTTTCCTTTAAGTGAGAAAAGATACTTGGGGATATGGTATCATATGAAACCACGAACAGTGGTATGGGTTGCGAATAGAGAGAAGGGTGTTTTAGATTCCAGCGGAGTTTTTGAAATCGCAGAGGATGGAAATCTGGTGGTGGAAGGCAAAGGTGCATCAGGGAGGAGTAATTATTGGTCCTCTCAACTTGAAGCCTCCTCGTCCACAAACAGAACAGTGAGGCTCCTAGATTCAGGGAACCTCGTACTCATGGACCACGATAGAAAGTTGTTGTGGCAGAGCTTCCTGAACCCAACAGACACCTTTCTCCCTGGCATGAAAATGGAAGCTAATTTAACGTTGACTTCATGGAGAGACGCCACTGACCCAGCACCTGGGGACTTCACCTTTAAGCTCTCTCGTGCTCAAAACTTCCAAGTGGAAAGGAAATCTCAACTTTACTGGGCATTTGATCGACTCGACACAGAAACGGTTCCCCCAATGATCTTTCTGTTGTTAGACAACGGCACGATGGGTACTAGTACTAATACTTCATCGTACAATAATAGATCAGGGAAAGTGATGAATGGATCGCAATCTTACGACTACAAGAGATCAAGGCTATTAATGAATTATTCTAGCGGGGAGATAGAGTTTCTGAAGTGGAATGAGACATTGTTTGGATGGGATAAGCTCTGGTGGGGGCCAGCTGACAAGTGCGACAAACATAACTATTGCGGGAGCTTTGGAATCTGTAACAAAAATAATGTGGTTCGCTGCAAATGTTTGCCAGGGTTCCGTCCGAAGCATAATGAGAAGGAGGAAGAATTCCAGCTACAAGGGTGTGTCAGAAAATCAACGACGTCGTGTATTGACAAGGATGTCATGTTCCTGAATTTTGGCTGGATAAATGTGGACAGCGAGCCTGATCAGCAATTTAATACACAAACAGAAGCAGAATGCCAATCTTTATGCCATGATAATAGCAAGTGTCCCAGGTCTCAGTGCCAGGCATATTCATTTTCTAGGTCTATATATGATCGCGGTTCTTCCTCTACATGCAAGATCTGGACACGAGATTTACCTACTCTTCTCGAGGACTACGATCGTGGTCTTGATCTTTCTGTCCTCGTTAATAGATCAGATATAGGTAATTAATTCATGTCTTCTTAACACTACCAAAACACTGAATACTCAATTCCTAATTTGGTGAAGCAAAAAATAATTAATATACTTTCAACAAACAATTGAAACTTGAAGATAACATAGGCCTTATTGTTCTATTGAATGTATTGACGGATAAAGCAGAAGAAAACATGATTGCCACATCGCTGAATTATATATATATAATTGTGCAGAACTCACTGCAAGATCGTGTAAACCTTGCGGCACAAATGTGATTCCTTATCCGCTAAGCACAGGGCCAGACTGTGGTAACCCCATGTACAACAGGTTTAATTGCAGCAACTCCACAGGCCAAGTTAGATTTATGATACCCGACGGAGACTCATACCCAGTTAATACGATCGATGAAGATACCAGAGTGTTTTACATTCAAACTCCTGGTTCATATTCCTGTAGTTCCGGAAATCAAACTGCCACACCTGATTATCCATTTTATGAATATGCTTGCTTTGAAGATGTTGGAATAGTTAAAATGAGTTGGCTACCAGCACCAGAACCTCCCTGCACTAAGCCTATAGACTGCAAGTATTGGCCCCATTCGACATGCACACCATCAAGTCAAGGAGGAACCAGATGCCTTTGTGATCCAACCTTTAAGTGGAATAACTCAACCATCAAGTGCACCCAAGGTTACCATTTTATTATACGTCTCTATAGCACTTTTCTGTTTTTTCTCAATGAATACTATAAAGGTTTGCTAGATCATAAAGATTCAATTTAACTAGCAAGCGTTTCCTTCTTCTGCCAAACGTTGTTGATCAAAGTCCCAAATTCAATTAAGAACAATCCTTCAAGAGATACTCTTCCGTATGTTTATGATTAGTCTGGTTCTGGATTTTCCAAATTCCTTTCCAACAATGTCATGACTAAAATGTTAAATAAACTGGTGTGTCAATTCAAGGTGCATTGGTAGTACAATTATAATCATGTTTGCCCTCTTGCTTTGTGCATTTTATTTCCTTTCTTATACAGAAGCGCCATCAAACCATTCAACCATCAGACTGCTATTGATATTAACTCTTGGTGGCACGGCTATTCTGGCATGCATAATTGCATTTGCCATTGTGCGAAGAATGAGAAAAAACCATACGCTAGGTGATAATTTTTAGTTTTGCATGTTCAATTAAAAATCTTTTATCTTCACACGTGTTAACTAAGTTATATGTATGTCATGTCCAGATCGGGCAAACACCCGAATTCAGGAGAGCTTGTATGAGAGTGAAAGACATGTGAAAGGTTTGATTGGGTTAGGAAGTTTAGAAGAAAAAGGCATTGAAGGCATTGAAGTACCCTGTTATACTTTTGCAAGCATTCTAGCAGCTACAGATAATTTCTCAGATTCTAACAAGCTTGGGAGAGGAGGTTATGGACCTGTCTATAAGGTGATTGGTTCACTTCATTTATCTTTATTATCAACCTAGCATTGACTCCATCCAAGAATTTCACATAATATATGGATATTTTTATACAGGGAAGGTTTCCTGGAGGTCAATATATAGCTGTAAAGAGGCTTTCAAGTGTTTCTACTCAAGGCTTACAGGAATTCAAGAATGAGGTTATTTTGATTGCAAAACTTCAACATCGGAACCTCGTTAGACTTAGGGGCTATTGCATAAAAGGATATGAAAAAATCTTACTTTATGAATACATGTCCAACAAGAGCTTGGACTCATTTATATTTGGTTAGTTTCAAATATTCCATTACATAACTTCCCTAGAGTGCTCTTTAATTATTAAAATAGTAAATTTACTAACCTTGTTCTTAATTTGAAATGTTAATGTATATCTCGAAAGACCGGACACGAACCTTACTCTTGGATTGGCCAATGCGGTTTGAGATAATTATAGGCATTGCGCGAGGCATGCTCTATCTTCACCAAGATTCCAGGTTGAGAGTGATTCATAGAGACCTGAAAACCAGCAACATTCTTCTAGATGAGGAGATGAATCCAAAGATATCAGACTTTGGCCTTGCTAAAATATTTGGGGGGAAAGAAACTGAAGCAAGTACAGAGAGAGTTGTGGGAACCTAGTAAGTTCACTATGTATATGTGATTGTAGATGTGTTATTGTTGATTTCTCGAGTGTTATTTTATACATGCTAGCTACATATAACAATAATTTTTTGGCAGCGGATATATGGCTCCGGAGTATGCTTTGGATGGACTTTTTTCAATCAAATCCGATGTTTTCAGCTTTGGAGTAGTCTTACTTGAGATTATTAGTGGAAAAAAGAACACGGGATTCTATCAGTCCAAACAAATTTCTAGCCTTTTGGGTTATGTATGTTTCTTCTGTAGCACTTTTTGGTTATGTTATATATATGCATGTTTTTGTGATGTGTTTACTCACCAATAATTTGATTGCATCAGACATGGAAGTTATGGACAGAAAATAAGCTACTGGATTTAATGGAGCCATCGTTTGCTGAAAGTTGCAACGAAAATCAATTCATTAAGTGTGCGCTTATTGGACTCTTGTGCATACAAGATGAACCAGGTGATCGACCCACTATGTCAAATGTTTTGACAATGCTTGATAGCGAGACTGCATCCATGCCACTTCCCACGCAGCCAACTTTTTTTGTGAACAAACATCTTTCTAGCTCAGCTTCTTCTTCTAGCAAACCAGAGACAAGCCTGCAATTTGATACCAGTTACCAAGACGGTCGATAGGGCTTCATTGGAGGAGGCTATAGTTAAAATATATATAATATATATTTAATGACAGTTTAATTGTTTACAAAATAATTTAGATATTATTTTGCATTACTTGTGAGTATTGTTTTTAATATTTCTTTTTGATCTAACTTAGTTTCTTTTTAATTGGAATGTGATTCAGTACGGGTATAAATTAAAGTTAATGTTTTATGTTATGTAACATTATATGATATCAAATGAACTCAATATTAATTTTACAGGTGATTTTACAAGTTGATTTTACATGATGTTCAATGCCACTTCACATTGTTTTCCGAGTGGTACCAGCTTCCTTTTTTAATCTTCATCAGTATGATTGTAAGTCAATATCAAATATACATGTATCCAATCTTCATCGGATAAATTTGGGCTAGACGTTCCTTCCTCTACAATATAGGATAAAATTCAATTACAATTTGCGTCAAGTCTTCACATTTAAAAAAAAAATTATAAGATAGAAAAATATAAAAGTTAATCCTTAAAAGTAATACAAAATACTCTAAATTATTCTAAAATACAATTAAAATATCATTAAACATCTTTCACATATTCTAACTATAGTCTACATCATGGACTATCTGCCTTCTCCATAACTGCTATCAAATTGCAAACTTATTTCCATTTCGTTAGCTGAGACAGAAAAAAGACGCTTGTTCACAAAAAAGGTTGGCTGCGTGGGAATTGGCAAGGTTGTTGTCTCCATGTCAAGCATTGACAAAACATTTGACATAGTGGGTCGATCACCTGGTTCATCTTGTATGCATAAGAGCCCAATAAGTGCACACTTAATGAATTGATTTTCATTGCATGTTCCACCAAGACATGGGTCCATTAAATTCACTAACTTGTTCTCTGTCCATAACTTCCATGCCTGATACAATGTCCATACAAGTAAGTCAACATACAACGAAAGCATACCATAACCCAAAAGTGCAACAGAAGAAACATACATAACCCAAAAGGCTACAAATTTCTTCGCACCGATAGAATCCCGTGTTCCTTTCTCCACTGAGAATCTCAAGTAAGACAACTCCAAAGCTGAAAACATCAGATTTGATTGAAAAATGCCCGTCCAAGGCATACTCTGGAGACATGTATCCACTGTCAAAAAAATTATTGTTATATGAAGCTAGTATGTATAAAATATCAAACTTAGAAAAGTAACAATGATACATTTACAATCATATATACTTAGTATGTCTTGCGAGCACGGATAAATCTTTTGATATCAGTTTTGAGACACTGTATACAAATTATATTCATGAATCAAAGAAAAAATCACATATAATTAGTGAACTTACTAGGTTCCCACCACTCTCTCAGTACTTGCTCCGGTTTCTTTTCCCCCAAATATTTTGGCAAGGCCAAAGTCCGATATCTTTGGATTCATCTCCTCATCTAGAAGAATGTTGCTGGTTTTTAGGTCTCTATGAATCACTCTCAATCTAGAGTCTTGGTGAAGATAGAGCATGCCTCGTGCAATGCCTACAATTATCTCAAATCTCATTGGCCAATCCAGAAGTAGAGTTCCTGAACGATCTTTCAAGATATAAATTTCAAATTAAGAACAAAGTTAGTAAATTTACGGTTGTAATAATTAAAGAGCACTTTAGGTGATGGAATATGCGAGACCAACCAAATATGAATGAGTCCAAGCTCTTGTTTGGCATATATTCATAAAGTAAGATTTTTTCATCTCCTTCTATGCAATAGCCCCTAAGTCTAACGAGGTTTCGATGTTGAAGTTTGGCGATCAAAATAACCTCATTCTTGAATTCCCGTAAGCCTTGAGTTGAAGCACTTGAAAGTCTCTTCACAGCTATATCTTGACCACCAGGAAACCTTCCCTGGTTAAAAATTATGAATTCATCTTGAGAAATAATTCTTGAGTGAGTAATGAAGTGAACCAATTACCTTATACACAGGTCCATAACCTCCTCTTCCAAGCTTATTAGAATCTGAGAAATTATTTGTAGCAGCTAGAATGCTTGCAAAAGTATAACAGGGTACTTCAATGCCTTCAATGTCTTTTTCTCCTAAACTACGCAAGCCAATCAAACCTTTCACATGTCTTTCACTCTCGTCTAAGCTCTCCTGAATTCGGGTGCTTTCCCGATCTGAACTCAGGAACAAGACATATATTACAAGTGTAGTGATAAAGGATTTTTAATTCATCATGCAAGCAAAACTAAAAATTATTACCAAGCTTGGCTTTTTTCTTTCTCTGCACAATGGAAAATGCTATTATGCATGACACAATAGCCATACCAAGAGTTAATGTAAGAATCAACGGCATTCGTTTGGTTGAATGGTTTCTTGGTGGCTCTTCTGTACAAGAAAGGAAAGAAAATGAAAAAAGTAAGGGCAAATAATAACATTTTACTCATGACATTGTTTCAAAGGAATAATAAAATGCAAACCTTGGGTGCAAGTCATAAATGAGTGATTCCACTTATAGTTTGAATCGCAAAGGCACCTGGTTCCTCCTTGACTTGATGGTTTGCATGTCGAATGGGGCCAATTATTGCAGTCTATAAGCTTACTACATGGAGGTTCTGGTGCTGGTAGCCAACTCATTTTAACTATTCCAACATCTTGAAGGCAATCAGCTACATTAAATGGAAAATTAAGTGTGTCGTTTTGATATATGGAACTACAGGAATAAGAAGCATCAGTTTGAATGTAAAACATTCTGGTATCTTCATCGATCCTAGTAACTGGCTGGGATGTTCCTCCGGGCATCAAGAAGCTAACTTGGCCTGTGGATTTGCTGCAATTGAACTTGTTGTACATGGGGTCACCGCAGTTTGGTGCAGTGCTTAGCGGGTAAGGAATTACATATGTGCCGCAAGGTTCACACCATTTTGCACTTGGTTCTGTACAACAATAATAAAGAAATTGCTAAAATCAAGAGTATCGCTTACATTAATGAGAGATGAATGACTTAAAAGGATATAATTATAAATTACCTATATCTGAAGCCTTGACAAGGATAGAAAGATCGAGACCGTGATCATAGTCCTCTAGAAGAGTAGATAAATTTCGTGTCCAGATCTTGCATGTAAAGTCACCACGATCACCATACGTAGACTCATTATATGAATACGCCTGGCACTGAGACTTGGGACACTTGTTAGTAGTGTTAAGGCATAAGGATTGGCACTCTGCTTCTGTTTCTGTATAGAATTCTTGGCCTGGTTCGGCAACTTTCATGTTGGTCAAGTTCAAGAACATGACCTCCGTGTTGTGGATACACGACGTTGATTTTCTGACGCACCCTTGGATTTTGAATTCTCCATCGTCATGAGGATCATGGTTGGGACTGAACCCTGGCAAACATTTGCAGCGAATCTCATTATTTTTGTTACAGATCCCAAAGCTACCACAATAGTCATGTATGTCACACTTGTCAGATGGCCCCGACCAACGCTTATCCCATTGCAACTCTTCCTGGTTCCACTTGAGAAACTGTATCTCCCCGCTAGAATTCATTAACAGCCTTGAATTGGAGTAATTGTAAGGTGGCGATTCGAAGACAGTTTTCTTTGAGATATTGTAGGATATAGTAACCCCGGTGGCTTTCTCCAACAAATTGAAAATTAATAGGGAAATGGCTTCTGTGTCCACGTCAAGTCGATCAAATGCCCAGTAAAGTTTTGACTCTTTTTCCACTACCATGTTTTGAGTACCATCCAGCTTAAAGGTGAAGTCCCCACGTGCTGGGTCAGCGGCGTCTCTCCATGAACTCAACGTTAAATTGGCATCCATTTTCATGCCAGGGAGAAAGGTGTCTGTTGGGTTTCGGAAGCTCTGCCACAACATGTTACTATCATCGTCCATTAGTACGAGGTTCCCTGAATCTAGGAGCACCACTGTTCTGTTTGTGGACGAGGATAGTTCAAGTTGCGAGGACCAGTGATAACTCCCTGCTGCACTTTCTACCACCAGATTTCCATCCTCGGAAATTCGAAATACTCCGCTAGAATCTTCAACAGGGTTGTCTCTATTGGCAACCCAAACCACTGTTAGTGGTTCCAACCCATGATACCATATCCCTAAGTATGTCTTTACGCTTAAAGAAAAGAAGCCCAGCTCAAAAGTAAGTTTGGATGAAACAAGGTTTAACGCCGCCGAATGTTGAGTTATTGTCTGGCCAGCGTTCAATGTATCTCTAGCTGAACATAGTTGGGACCAAAAAAGAAGAACGAAGAACAGAACCTCGTCACTTCTCATGTCTAATACAAGATAGCACTTGTTCCTATGACTTTTGAACCACTTGTTTGCTGTCATTGTGGATCACTTATACATTGGTCTTGCGTGAGGTACGTATAAATCGTAAGACTCCTTAGTCCTTGCACATGAAATTTTACAGATTTACTAACTGTGCAATATTATAAATGTTTCTTTAACAAAGGTGGCAAAGACTGAGATGATAAAATATTAATCAGTCTAGAATGAAAGTCATGGACATCTTTTTCCTTGTGCAAGCCCTCCTTGCAACGATGAAATCATTTAAATACATGCACGCGTTTTCACGTCATACTGAGAGGTAATCAATCTTAGGCCCTGGACCTCGGGTTTCGGCCTCGCACAATCAGCCCACTAAGGCCACTACGAGTTGTCTAATCTTAATTTTCTAATAATGATGCTATTGACCAAATGAATGATATTGTTGCCACAGAATTGAAAAGGAGAATGTTTTTTAAATAATTAATTTTAAAAAAATAATTGTTTAAAAATATTTTTTTTTAGATTTAAACAAACAAATTAATTCAATATCTCTTTATCTTTCTCTTTATCGATAGTTATATTAAGGATTAAATATATTTTTAGTTAAATTGATGATTTTAATTTTGGTATCTTTAAAATATTTTCTTTATTTTCTATCCTTCTAAAATTTGTAAACATTATTTTTTATTTTTATATGATTAAATTTTGATTTTGATTTCTGTAAAAAAAAATTGTTTTCATTCCTCTAAAATCTAAACTAATTATTTTTAGTTCTTAATGATTATTTTAGAATGGATAAATAAAATTTATTTTAAGGACCTATAAATTTTTTTAAAGGTGTTAAATATCAATATCATATCAATAATAATTGTAAATAACACTTAAGATGATTACTTAACTTTTTAATAAATAAAAACTAATTAAAAATGATCACATAAAAATAGGAACTAGAAATAATAGTTTTGATTTTATAAGGATAAAAAATAAAGAAATTTTTTTATAGAAACTAAAATCAAAACTTGTTAATTTTATGAATACTAAAAATATATTTAAACCTTATATTAATTACTTCTTCATCATTTATTCTTATCTCTTTTTAGTTGTAGAGACATTTTGAATGTCTAAATGCTTTTTTCTTAAAGAGTCGTATATTGTTTTATATTTAGAAAGAAAATAAATAAAAAAGGATAAATAAATAGATATAATAGGAACAAAATGATTTGGGTACGTTTTATATGTCATTTGATGGTTTAAAAAAAAATATATATATTGGTATAGTATTATGATATAATAGAGATAGATAAAAATAGGTATAAAATGATTTGGAAACGTTTTATTCGTCTTGAGGTTGAGTTTTGTAAATATAAAAAAATGATGATTAACAAAAGAGATATCACTAAAGATGACAAGTCAAGTTCTTCCCATAAAAATTAGTTATTAGAGAAATCATAAAATAAGTAAGTTAAGATATTTTAGTTGTAAATTTGATTTTTTTTCATTCTTCAAATATATAAAATTATTATTTTTAGTTTCTACTATTATGTAATTATTTTTAACTATTTTTTTTATTAAAAGATTAAGTAATCATCTCAAATATTATCTATTATTACCATATCATTGGACGAGACGTCTAAAAATTTTATAGATCTTCAAAACAAATATTGTTAATCTACTTGAAAATAATTATTAGTGATGAAAAAAATAGTAACTTTACATTTTAGAAGATGAAAATTATAGAAAAATTATTTTATATTGACCAACATTAAAATTTGTTTATTTTACAAAAATCAAAAAATAATTTTATAAAATTTAAAATAATGAAAAAAAAATCACCGACCAAAAATCAAAACTTGAATAATTTACACATGAACTAAAGACTAAAATAAAATAAATAAACACATATTTAAAGAGTCGGTAAATATAATTTTTTTTTATATCTATATAACTTGTTTCAAAATTTGGGTCATACCTTGTCCTGGCCTATGGCTAACAGGCCCAAATTTTTTTTAATAAATTATATGATTGTGAGTTAAATTATTTTATATTATTTTAAAATAAAATTATTTCTTATATATATTTTCACTAAATATAAAATTTTGATATGATTATAAATTTCTATTATTTTTATTTTTTATGCATTATATTCATAAAAGAGTAAAATATGTTTTTGATTTTTATAAAAAAAATATTTTTTATAAGTAAAATAATAGATAAAAAAATGACTCTCCTAAAATTATTGGAAAAGGAGTCAATAGCATGCTTAAATCTTCAAATCAAACACTATTATCTATTTAGTAGTTAGTCGAAGTTCAATCATGCGTAATTTGACTTAGGACTTTACTTGTTAAACTGAAGATCAATAGAGGTTCATTAAGAGAATTTCACCTCATGCACTAAGGGATCTCCTTAAGTAGGTATATCTATCAAAATAGTATTTTAATAGTAGTATAGAGTGTCAAACTCACGTCATGAGGGATAAAAACTCATATTGAATCACCAAACTATTTGTATCAACCCACGATGACCTCTATAAATTTTTTTAAGTTTGATTTTAGTTCTTCAAAAAATTTATCTTATATGTTTTGATCCTTCTAATTTGGAGATGCACCTTAGGTCCTCAAAGTTATTTATATATATCATTTTAAAATAAATGATAGTATAAAAGTAAATTAAATAAAAATATAATATATTACTTTTAGATTATTTGTTAGCATTATATTATCAGTTTAATATAATATAACATCTAATTTTTAATTAAATTATGTATTTATTTTTATGCTATAATATTTTAAAATATTTATATATAAAAAATTATTCTAACAAGTTATTGGTTTAAATAATATTAAATTTGATCCCTTTAAACAAGTTATGGATATAACTAACCAGATGAATCATCAACAAATCTCATAAAGAATTCGTATTATTTTACTTAAAGTATATTTATTAATTTGTTTCGGAATGAGGAAAAAGACAAGGAACGGCCATGAAAGGGTTAGTTCCTGGAGTTAATATTCTATAACAATCTCCTTTGTCAACCATTATCATTGTTCTATCTAATTAGTGTCAAAAATCAAGACATTTTTTATGAGTGATGAAAATGTTGATTGTTGGGTGGGCTCTACCTCATGCCCGCCCCACAACAAATAAAAAACAAAAAGAAGTTTGAAAACTGAAAACAACAAAAAGGAAAATAATAATAATAAAAGTCTAGTGTCAAAGAAAATAGCGCACGAGAAGAGAAAAATATGTCGAGACTTTGACTTGTGACTTGTGAGATGAGTAATTTCCTTTCATCATGCTGTTAGATGGTAAATATTAAATGTTATTTGAGTATATTCTTACAAATAGATGGTGAATATTTAATGTCATGGGACTTAGATATTATTAGGTAATTTTTGACACTATTATGATTTTTATTAGTTTTTATATGACATAATTGAATTTTAGTAATTGATTGTTATACATTAAAAAATTTAAATACGTGTTACATAAATATTAGCAGAGATTGTAGATTCCGGGTCTACATAATAATTTTTTCATTGAAAACTTAAAAGATTCGTGCAATTCTTTTTTAAAAATACTTAAATGATTTGAACATTAAATCACTATAATAAGATCTAATTATCAGTATTTAGACTTTTTACTTGATTTGATCTTTTTCTACCATTTCTCTCATAAGAGATTTATTGTGTAAAACAATGTGATGCAATTTGTTTAATTGTAAGAACTAAATTTATATTTATATTTATATTTATTTTTTCAAACTCTTGCCATTGTTATATATGCATTGTCTTTTTTATATATACAATTTAACAATAAACAATTTTTTACTGTTTATTTTTCTATTTTAGTTTGATTTTGATACGATGAGAGTTACATAAAATAACTTCATAAAAAATTATTGTATAATAAATTATTTAAGAATTTTTATTTTCATTTTTTTTTATAAAAACTAGAAAAGAGTAAAAAAAATATAAAATAGAAAATACAAATTAGTTATTTATAAATATTTTTTATTCAATTTTTATTTTCACTCCTCCAATTGTCTTCTTCAAGCTCCGCCAAGTGTTGAGGATCAAAATTAATATTTTTAACCAATGATATATTTCAAAAAAATATATATATTAAAATTAAATATATAAATAATAATTAAAGAGATAAAAAGTTAAAGAAATTTCTAAATTCAAAGAAAACTTGAACAGAATGTACTATCACATAAAGAATAAGTTAATCCCAAACGTGTGGTTCAGCGGTAGGGGTTGATCAACCTACTATTATAATTTTTTTTATTACATGCGACTTTTCCTGCGAATTTTTATGAAAAATTCGTAGGAAACGTTGTTCCTGTAACTTTTTCTGTGAAATTTTATATGCAGGTAATACTTTCGTGGATAATATATTTTTGCGAATTTAAAAATTCGCAGGAAATTTTTCTGCGGAATTTCTTGCGAAAAAAATTCGCAGGAAAGTTTCTTGCAAAAAAAAATTTGCAGGAAAGTTTTCCTGCAAAAAAAATTTCGCAGGAAAGTTTTCTGCGAATTTTTTTGCAAGAAATTTTGCAGAAATATTTTTACAAAAAAAATTAAAGAAATTACTATAAATTCTATCAATAATTTTTCAACTTTCAAATGCTCACAATGAATTCATCCGAAACATTTGTTTCCATGCCTCCAACATGTGATACATAATCTTTTAAATTATAAGATTGTAGATTATAAGCTTAATACCCAACCATACAAATCAACTTGTAAGTTAAGTGTTGCCCCAACTTATATACTCTTTAATTGTTTTATTTTCAATCGATGTGGGACTTGAAGTTTTTTTAAAATATTAAACTTATAAATTTAAATATTTTTTTTCCTGCAAATTAAAATTTGTAGGAAAATCCGCAGAAAAAGTTACTTACAAAATTTTTCTACCAATTTAGTAAACATTACTTGCGAATTTATTTTTGCAAGAAAATCTGCAAAAAATAAAATAAAATTCTTACAATATTTTTTGCAAATTTTTACCATGGAAAAAAATTTCTATGATTATTAAAATTGTAACAAAATTTGTAAGAAATATCTGTAAATTATTTTTTGCAAATAAATTGCAAAAAATTTCTGCGAATAT